TGGGTCTGCGTGGCAAAGGCTGCCGGTTTAAAATCATCGGTTATTTCGCACTAAAAAATCGATAGACCAACGTGTCCCGTCCTATACCTACTTATTAAAACACATAAGTTGGTATCACCTGATGATCATGCGTCAACCAATCCGTCATCATTTAAGGTTAGACCGATCATCAGCTGTGTAGACGGGCCAACGGAGAGAATAACCTGATTTATAAGCCTGATACTTACCCAGTTGCTTAACCACATTCCAGCTCACCTCACAAACACCCAAATGTTCCTAGAACGTCTACGTAACGCTTCTCCTAATAACGCGTTCGTGATGGAGTCTTTCGACGTTACCGCACTGTACACCAACGTGTCGAATGACTCCGCAATGGAAGCCATCTTCGAACTTCTTGTTGAACATGAAGGAAGAATAAATATGCATGGCTTGTCCATCCAGCAGCTAATGGCTCTCTTAAAGGAGTGCCTAAACTGCTCGATTTTCGGATGGTCTGGGAAATATTTCGCGCAAATAAGGGGGTTTGCAATGGGAGAGCGACTAGCACCAAGCCTGCCATTGTGTATATGCCTAAGATAGAAGCCCCTGTTCTCGATCTCCGGCCACCACTTTATTGCAGATATGTAGGTAACCGTTTTGTCGTCTTCTCTACGCAAGAGGAGATGGACAAATGCTTTGAACTATTGAACGAGCAGTCTGAGGACATAAAGTTCAACTGGGAGAAACCGAGAAAAAACTGGCTTCCGTTTTTGAACGTTCAAATAAACCTATCAAGTAGCGGTTACTTGACAACGTGGTACCGAAAGCCAAGTAACATAAACATCCTCGTTCATTTCCTTTCTTCCCAACCTTCACGCACAACGAAGGCGGTCGTGAGAAACACGTATCGAACAGCCACCTCTATGTGCACTACCAGCGAACTAAAGGAAGAATCGCGCGACTTGGCTCGACAAATACCCATCTCCAATGGCTACGAAATAGTAACCCAACGAGATAAGTTTAGAAGAGGAGCGACGCGCCCAATCGAAGCACTTGGCCCAAAGAAAGTCCCGTTCATGTCGCTTTTTATTAGCGATGAAGTAAAAGCTAGTGGGTTACTTTGTCTTAGTTTTCGTTTGCCGTTTAGATGCTCTTTTATACGGATACACAAAGGTCTGCACGTTTCACCAATATATTCATATCCGCAATTATTACAAGAGATCAGGCATATCGTAGCTGACCTCATGCTGTACTGTACCTACTGTAAGGAGGGCAAATTACGCAGTTTGGTGTTTCATATGGAGAGTCATACAGGCGGTTGCGATCTAACTGACGACGTTGAGTAGCTGATGGTATTTCAACTATCGCTACCGATTCTTATAGACCTGTCCTTCCTCAGCATCGTTTAATAGCTATGCTTACTTCATCGGCTGGATACAAAATCATAGCAGAGACGATTTTGAAGAAGTAAAGTCAATATCCTTCCATAGTAGACTAAAACACCAGCGCGATAACTTCTTGATTCCTTTTGGATAAATGCCAAAAACTTTACAACGAATAGCGGGGATGGATGCCCAGAGGTCATACGCGACCTGACCCCGTATGTTCGCATCAATTTCTGATGTGGGATGGTGCAATCATCAACCATATGCGACTATAATCAGCTGTTCTAATCTTCCTCATTGGAAGTCACGAAAAAGCGGTGGGTTTTCGAGAAGTTGTTGATCATGTAATTACCAGAGAGTTTTTCGTCTTTTTGTAAGTGTTATTGAAGCGTTTGGCCTAGTAGATTGTATATCAGCATGCCCTTCCAAGCTCTGAAGAATGGGATACTGCCGAAACGTCAGCTACTGTTGTATTGTACTGTGTTTGTCTATGGAAGTAAATGTACGCTGTTTAACAACCTCGCGATTGCTGAGCAAGAAAACGACGCTACTGAGATACTTTAACAAGTAAAAAAAGTCTTAAGTGTTGCTGGTCGTTATACGACACTCTAGGGTTTTTCAACATAAAAAGAGCTCAACCATCTGTCATAAGCAAATATGAGTTACATGCGTCATTATATTGACCCATGCGTACTTGGATAACAGTGAAGGTGCGGGTCGCAAGACAATTTCCATTCGTTTCTCTTGTGCTAGCGTCTTCTATTGTGGTAGTCTGCTTCGAACACGGTGACGTTCGCGAAGCCCATTCCTTGATCTTGAAGTTGCTTCTTTGCGAAGACAGGTACTTGACATTAACCACAAACATGTCCGCTCACCATTTCGGTGGTCGCCCCAGTGAACGGTCGCATTCTTTTGCAGTCCACTTGACTGTTCTTTTCGTACACTTGTTATTTTTTCTTCCTATTACGTCACTGACCCATCTGTGCTTCGCTGTCGATGTATATTTTTCTGGATACTGAAGACAAGAATGATTTCGCAGATCTAGGTTGCGCATTCACTCTAGGCCTTGTGAGTGCTAATTATATTTTCCATGAGAACGTTCGAGTGCTCTGTGGGCACTGTTCTCGATGTGGCTTAAGTACCAGATGACATGTCTGCTATATAGCAAAGCTCTGAAGAGGCTGTTGATTTGGAAACGGGAGCGAGAAGTTTTGGTCTGTTAGTTGATTGGTCTTTTCTGTGAGATGGACGAATGCTACCCAGACTGCTCTTAACTCTTCTTTCATGTTTTTTTTTCATTTTCTTTGTATGCACAAGGTATGCGCTCGAGGTGCTCTGCGTAATCCCATTTCGATTTTTACACCTTGCACCATTGATTCTTCGTGAACTGGGTCTTTCTCATATTTATGCGTAGTCCAATCATTTTTCCTGCTTCCTTGAGCACCATCACTGCTTCACTTGTACCCCTCGAAAAGATAACAATGTCGTTGGCAATTGAAAGCTTGGTTGGAATTTTTCATTAGTGCCTATGTCTTTCTCAGCCCAGTCAAGTGACATCACCACCTAATGCGGTGAGGCAGCAGAGAACTTTGGCGATACTATGTCGCCTTTGTCGAACCTCTGTTCCTAAAAGTGTGGCAAGGAGTACATGGAAAACCTTTGTTTTTGTGAGCAATTCTTATAACAATCAGCTAGCTGGTGTGAGTGTATAGGTCAACTCCACGCATGGGAAAAGGTTGAAATGAATGTTGGGAAAAAAGGCGATGGTAGACCCGAGCGAGTTTATGACCCGCTACACAGTTTGGTTGTCGTCTACATGATAGATTTATTGTCGGGATTTTGCCTCCTCGATCGATTTTACCTCACTCATTGTTTTTAATATGCATGATAGAATAGTCTTTGTGAACAGCTTGTAGAGTACACTCAGCAGTAGTTACGAAGATCCCTTCGGTCACCATTTTTGGATAAGGTCGCACGACATTTTCCATGAGTCTGGGATTTTTTCCTTCTAAAGCTAAGATATCGTATAGCTTCTGAGAATTGAGTGTAATTTGTGGCCGTCGGCTCTAAGGAAATCGGAGGTGATGTTATCGGGCCCTGGGTCTACCATTCTCTTCATACTTTCTTTGTTGACACGAAATCCGGAAGGTAAAAATGGGGTTTTTTTCATTAGCGGTAGTATGTGGAAGAAGTGGAAAAGATTAGCATAGAACTTTCTCATTATCGATTCTATATCTTGGCTGGATGTGATGATAGTCCCTCATTCGTTCATCAGGACAGATAGCGGAACATGATAGTCTCAAAGGTCCCGACGGCACTTCTTCAGACTAGGTCGTTTTTGAGCCCTTGGCAACAGCTTCTTCTGCCTCTGCCGAGGTAAAACTTACTGCAGAGATCTTCTACAGTTGGTATGTATCGTAGGCCGTGTAAGTGTGCAACAATAAGGTTAACCTCCAGTTTTTTTTTCTTAGAAACTCCTTAGTGTTAATGCAGATTCGGTCTGAACTTCTTGTTCGAGGAAGTGAGGCGAGTCCGACCGAAGTTTTAAGCCCTTCGACACCCCGCTTGTAATCATTTCTCGGGTCCTCCTTCTTCTGCAAGTCATATGAGTAGAGGACTTTATTGAGAATGTTCTTTTCATACGGCCTGTCTTATTTTTCTTGGATGATGAAAGAAGTCCCTTTCCAGCTTATGACTTAATGGAATAGTTCCCAGGATCGACTTTCTATTAACCTCGACATTGGAATATGAATGTATCGTTTTCTTGTTCAGCAATCGCGAGATTTTTAAACAGCATACATTTACTTCCATAGAAAAACACAATACAATACAACGCTGACGTTTCGGCAGTATCGCCTTCTTCAGAGCCGCTTTTTCGTGACTTCCAATGAGGAAGTTTAGAACAGCTGATTATAGTCGCATGTGATTGACGACTCGAAACTTCCTCATTGGAAGTCACGAAAAAGCGGCTCTGAAGAAGGCGATACTGCTGAAACGTCAGCGTTGTATTGTATTGTGTTTTTCTATGGAAGTAAATGTATGCTGTTTAAAAACCTCGCGATTGTTGAACAAGAAAACGACACTTAATGGAATCTTTGCTCGGAGGCGCCACAGCGGTGTCAAGGAGACACCATTTTCCGTTCGTTAGAATATGGTCGATCTCTGCATGGGTCGTGCCGTTAGAAGACTTCCATATCCATCGGCGATCGTATCTATTCTCGAAAAGTGAAATCGCATGGAAAAGACGTACCACGGGAGGGGTCCTACAAGACTGTTTCCATTTTCATTCCGGTTTTCTACTCCAATATACTGTTCTGCATTCATTTTCGTTGCCACCTTCTATGCGGGCAGGTATTCAGTAGAAAAATTATAAAAGCAATCGCTGTAGTTTGTGGGAATGACTGGGGGACCAGTCGAGAAGTACTTGTGAAGGAAAATTATAATGATTTGTAGAACTACAGGAAAAGATTACTTCGCTTCTCAAGAAGAAAATAGTTTGTAGCAAAAATGGGATCCTCCAAACTGTTACTGAAGGCTGACTGTGAATATATCATTTAATGTGAGTCCAGTAAAAAGGCAAATTTCTTTCTTTATTCAGACATTTATGCTTTCTGATCAAATCACTATATACGAAGTTTATCGGCACTTTAAGAAAGTCGAAACTGGTACTCCATCCGAAAGCGTTGAGGAAAGTAACATATCATAGATAAACACCAAGTTCTTCGTGTATATTCTCGCTTGGCCGTTTTTCCAACTAGAGATCCCGCGAATGTTTTCTGGCAAGCCCTAAAACAATTTATGTGGTGAAATATCTTTTCAGTAACGTGTAATACAAATATAAAATGTAACTACAGATGTCTTTGACATCAGGGATCTCGTTTCGGTCACCTATGAAAAGGGAACGCAGCGTGCTCTCATATGGATGTCCTAGTTCAGAGGGCAAGATGTAATAGCATCGAAGACGCCCGTGCAATTCATCTATGACGCTTTGGATTCAAGGAACTTCACTACGACCTGTGACATTTTTGTCCAAAGTTGGCTAAAAGTTTAAACACTTTTTGCCCACGCTATTACTGAAGTCAGTTTACGTCCTCAAATAGTTCAGATTCTTCTTGCATTTCCCATTTCGGACCTCAGATCTTCGAAACCTATCTCATCTTCGAAATCCAGGAGAATTTGTATCAATCGCGAAACTTAGATGAGCAGGTCAAAAGAACAGACAGTAGATTTGCGAAAAAAGTGTAGAATGGACTTCTAAGGGGCTAAGCATCACAGTAAACCGAAAAACATTTTCATAGGAAGCCCAGCCAAATTAAATCGACGATGTGGAAGAGCGCGAGAGTTACCCATGGCTATAAGATTTTGTGGAAAACAGTGAAAAAAAAGAATCACTAGGGAAATGCAATACCATTCATGCCCCAGGAGTGACCGGTGGGAGCCTTGGTAGTAGATGGGGACAAATGAAGTTTACATGGCGTTCACTAGAGTGGCTCGATGATTTGCGGAAAAACAGAAGAAAGCTAACATGTATTAATAAGTGCACATAACGATGAACATCAGTCAATTAAAATGATCTACTAACACCAACCTTGAAATAGTCAACAATTCGAGCGCTCATTAAAGATTTATTCCAGTATGCGTCATAGAGCGCAAACTTTCCTCCGCTCTAAAATTCGAAAAGATTGTAGGTGGAAACATCAATCTTGCTTGCTTTTTTTTTAATATTTTACAAAAAAATTAGACAATTTCAATAGCACAATGCTACAAAATCTCACTGATAAAAGCATTTGGTGTTGGTCATGCCATCGAATCGCAGCGCTTGGCGTGAACAGCGCCGATGGTAGCTCCTGAAGGGAAATTTTTGATTGACAGGTTTTTCACTTACTTTTCCAATAGCTTCGGTAAGGATCCCTGTAGAGTAGGCTGACAAATAGCTTTTAGAAACTGTTTAGCATTAGTATTCTTAAACAGAGTATGTAGATAGAAAAGGGTAGATAAATCGAAAACAAATGGGAGAAAGAGCACTGTTTGTTACAATGTCAACTTTACATCCTTCCTTCATGAAAAATTCCGTTACAGTCGTTCAAAATTTTTTGTACTTTATGGCAATACTCTGTCACCTTTGGAAATGCTGAGTCCATTTTGAAGCTGTTTCTTCCAATTTTCTTGTAGCCGTGCACCTGAAACAAGGCACGATTTTCATTACATGAAAGTTAGCAATAAACCGGATAAATTGGTAATATTTCTCAATATTTGGCATATTTAATACAAAGTAAAATGGCTGTCAATGAGTAAACTTACGGTGCGCCCACGAATGAGAACTAGAAGTTCCCTCTCGTTATCGTATACCGCAGCGTCTACGGAAGCTGGGCCAGAAGGGAAGACAGAAACTATGGTTGCCGAGGACACTATTCTGTCATCTCGTATAAAATAGACCTTTAAACCAGAAAACAGGTATGAATATTTTGGTCCTGAAAAAAAGTTAAATAATGCACGGATGTTGAAAGAAACATTGTTAAAAGGTTCTTTATTCCACATTTTGCAAATGAATCCGCCTCCAAGCCAAACCTTTGTTTTGCTTTGTGGTTTTAGAACTGCATAAATTCTTCACCATTTGAAATTGTTCTCACTCTGCTCATCTAAGGAATGTCAGTGCGGTTAGTCGCGAATTATTATTGGGGTTTCAGCACCCCTCATGCGATACAGGTGGTTTAGAGGGAATCCCTCCATGTCCTCGCATAACCAGTTTCTTTCTCATACAAATTGTCATATTTATGAATGCAAATGTGGGCGAATTTGTGTGCTTGATAAAATTTCTACAATTTAGTAACTGAGAAGTGCTTGGAAGAAAATTCATATTTGCCTTTCCCAAATAAGCTCTATTTTTGCTTTGGAAAATCCAATAAGGCAACCGTGATCACATCGTGCCTTGACCCTCGTCACCAAAAACAAGAAACTATCAACCCCTATTTTCTCACCAGAGCCTGGAAATAACTAAAAGGTGTGGTGTTCAACGTGTTGCACTGGGTGGCATTGACTTTCTATGAAAATGAATACAGACCTTGTTGATGTTCACTTAAGTCGCACAACTATTATTGACGACTGAGGTGATTAAAAGTGGGAGTTATCAGAAGAACCTTCAGAATCAGAAAAACATATGAACACATGAAAAAACTCATTAATTTACTCATTCTTTCTAAACTTACCAATACCTATAAGGTTTTGGAGAACAAATAACTTTTACTTAGAATTCAAGATTTACAAATGCGAAATTTTATAAAAATTGAATCCAGCGCACCTGAAGCGAACGCATTCACACGAGTAGGGCAATCCCCTTCAGTTCCAATCTGCGTTGCCGAAGAAAAATCTCTGCAGTACGAATGATGATGAATTTCCACGTTATTTTTTCCACCAGAGTTAATGTTTCCTTTATCACTGATCTTTTTAGAGCCAAAGTGAACACTCGGGACCGTTCATCTATCAGCGATAAGCTTCTTCCATAAAACACAGGAGGACAAACTTTCGGTAGTGGTCAACACGATTGCATTCCAAAGTTATATCTATGTTAAACTATATTTTTAATCTAAATATTTTATAAACTTGTAAAAACAACGTGGCAAAAATTTTTAGGCAAATATGCACTCAAAATACGGAGCCAAATTTTGGAGCTTATTAAATAAGGGATCAAACATGGCATGTAATGCAAAATTCCAAGTAAGATGCGATATTATTGTTGAAAAGGTCATCAGAAAATATTTTCACCTTTGCCAGGTTGCCGTTCGCTGCTCGTTAAGTGGTGATTGTGATCGAACCTGCAGCCAAGGAAAGGATTATCACCTCGCACTACACACATTCATTGCAGTCTCTTCAGAAACAACTCTTACTAACCACAGTACTTTACATGTGTGGAAATAAGATATTTTTACACCCCTTATTCTATACTGCATTGCACCCCGAGCCAAAAAGTGGCAGTGAAAGGAAAGGGAAGCACTAGTAGAGAAGTATTTAAACAGTCATAAAAGAAACAACTATTTATGTTTGTGGTAATTCGCCAAAAGTTGGAAATGGACAAAATGACGATCCTTTATAATCCATTCCACTTAAATTCGACCAATTTTCGATGTACAGTATGATTGGTTGCCTGTAACCTTGTTAGATCCCCTTGTAACGTGTTGCTATAATTATATTTGAACATGTGTGATGTTTTAATATCAGGTGTTAACTAAAACAAATAATACTGAAGTTATCAATACAGAAAGCGAATTGTTTCAAATCACTTTTCTACGAACGAAAGACTAACCGGTACTCGATTGCTTGGGATAAAAACTTCATCTCCAAGATTATGATTTCCAGAGCCGTCAGGGCCAACCTGAACTTCTGCTCCAAGATTAGGATTTCCACGACGTCCACTAAGTTGACCACTGTCAGGATGGGTGGTGTGAACCTGAGAGATGCGCTTGTGAACCATAAATATTCTTTTGCTGCCAACAATATTTGTTGAAAATGGATTAGATTACTAAGATGTATGTGATTTAGCTGATCTCCTTCATTTAGAATTCTCTAGTCATAAGTCTATGTTGGCTCTTGCCACGGCGGGTAGGAGGTAAACCATGGTGAAAGATGAAATCACGCTTTTGACATTAGAAGCAGTTCCATTTACTTACTGATCCCCATTGGAGGATTTTATAAGGACGTAATGGTGAAGGATGAAAGGATAAAGCGCGACGTCAACTGCCTTTTCAAGACCTGAAGACATCGTTAGCTAAACTTCACTAAGAGCTCTTACTGAGAAATGCGACAATGAGGAAGTAGGCGGAGCTTGTGTATTGTCATCAACATGAGAGCTTGGTCAGGAGCAACGATTCCTATGGGAAACTAATGGTCCAAAATGATCGTTTAAAGTTGAAGGAATAACGAAAACGTTGGTTATTCGTTGCTATCTCAACAGATCGTTAGAGCAGATCTCATAATTAACTCCGAATACACCTGAAAAATCACACATGGAAAATGAAAAATGGCAAAAAAATGAATTGGGTGAGAGGCGGGCATCATCGTGAAGACTATTTCTGTGAACACACATTTTCTACAACATCTCTCTCTCGACGCTAAACATGAAAGCCTATCTTCAAAGGAGTGCTGCACTGGAATTTAATTCTCAACTAGCAGTTCTCTGAGTTACATAATGTTCACTTCCTTCACGAAAACTTCTTTTTTGAACTCAAACTGAATGACCATGTGTTAACGCAGCTAATATCACTTCTGAGAAAATGATTCCAGGCAGCATGTGCTACGAAAATTACTGAGAGGACGCTAAATTCCGACTAACGTGATGTGCAGCAATGGTGACTCCTAAATATAAGCGACTAGCTATTACATTCAAGGAATATCAAATACGATACAGGAAAAGTCTAAACTTCTTCACGATAACTCTGAAAGAATGAAAGAAGAAAAACGCGATGCTCTTCGAGTTCCTTGAGAAAACATGACTTAGTGGACAATCTTGGCAGAACACCAAGAAGAACGGAAACGGACACCACCAGCGTACGCTCGGCGCAAGTGAAAATCATCAGGCAGACAGATGGTATATACCATTACTACTTTACCAGTGGTACTTTGCCAATCGAGCGGTGCACCCCTAAAGAACATTGAACTCGATAGGACTACGAAGTCCCACAACGCGAGCGCGAATTACTGTGGACCATCGACTCCGACAATCAGTTTTGAAAAAGACGAGGAAGCCGAAATGTTAGCCGAATATGTTATACAATAACTTGATGCAACAAACCAACAGCCTAAAGAATTGTACTAGTAATAGATCATATGGATGAATTACGAACAGTTGAAGAGCGATGACTTGTGTAATTATACTGTGCTCGTCTAATAATCGAAACGACAAAAAATTGTAGGATTTATGCAACCTGGTTGTTGGCACCTTTATTCACGTTCAATGTCCGCTCAGTCAATCACGGAACATTTCCACTTTTTCCATTTAAGCAAATAAGAAGGAAACTTCATATCACTAATTTAAAAAGGTTTCAACGTTTCTTAAATTAGCCATGAAGGCATTTTCATGAACCATTAAATTGAATAGAAATTGTCGTACCGTTTCTCTCCCGCTGCTCCCACCAGTGAAGAAATCGAAGAGCCCGGCGCGCACAGCGGTAATGTAGCCAATCAAAAACAGAGTCCTCATGAACTACGAAAAGCAACAACGTAAGAGTCGTTATAAATTTGTAGAAATATGGCGATGACCTAAAATAAGTAAGTGTGCTAAAATATGTGATACAGCAATAAAATAAGCGGAGTGATACAAAGCTAACAGCCACGCCGTTCCTAATCAGGTCAAATGTTCTTCGCTACTACCGCATTCTCGGTAGCTCGTGACAATGGTGTAAAGAATTTCGATCAATGCCTCGCTAAACGCTGAGACAGATCTCGCGCTCAGAAAACTTACTGATAGGGCTCATAGAAATCTCACAAGAATTTTTATAATTACTTTAAGAATTCCTAGTTTATTTGCTGCCATAAATCATAATGCAGTTATAGAATTCACCGATGCACAATTTTTAAAAGTACAATCCTCCTACATTTTAACTGATTTTAAAAGAGTAATTACTAAAAAAAGATAAAAATTTTTAAAAGAATCACCCTCTTCAACCCACTATGTGATCATCTAATCTATTCGCAGGGGTTGCTGAAATCTCAGAAGAATCCTAGTCCCGAGGCACCAAGCTATCCATAAAGCTTTGCTGATATATTTAGTGAAGATCTAGTGAAACCTTCCAGTACGAAGGTCTCGCAACTCTAGAAAGAGCTACACAGCAAAATTCAGTGTGTCACTGTGGATAGAAGGCATAAATCCTCAGGTCACTGGCGAAGCCACATGCAATCCGACTACCACAATGGATGACGGTTGCGAGACAACGAAACGATTGGAACAGTGGGTTTCACACACTATATGAAGGCGGACCATCAAAGTATTCAGCTTTTGAGAAAATGTATTTTATCAACGAATATTTGCAATTATTGGCTTTTTCAATTGCTAAAGGGAGAAAAATGAACACCTCGGTTGCAAAATGTTGCAGCCAAGTAGACTGAAATAAGTAACAGGTGGGAAAAGATTCATAGAGACGCTTCTAGGTAAATGAGAAATTCTACGAATTCGAATGAATATGTGGAAGAACGACATAAAAATGTGCCGTCGTTCAAAGAATAGCCGTATTTAAGGAGAATTCACCGTGTGTACCGGTTTTCTTCTGGCGGGTAATGATTGATTTGTCCCATCTTCTTTCGCTCAAAATATTACGACCTTAAAGGTGAGTCAGCCATATCTCTTTTGGAAGTTAAACTACTTTGCTTCCAAATAGACCTCAAAGACGATTCCACTTGGGAACCGCATGACCGCGAGCACAAGCACATACCGCAATTGTCCAGCGCTACATTTTCGATATGGACAAAATGGGCTGCGAAGAGCGAAGAACTCACTTATTTCTCCCTCTGAGCTTAGGAGTCATTGCAGAGAAAAAAGCCAAAGACTTTTTTCCAAATATCTATGTATGGATGCGTCTTTATTGTTCAGCGGCTTTGATAGTGTTATCACATCACTCTCATTATGAAAAAGGAGCTTGCTGAGATGATCTTCACACCTATACGATGCTGTAGTCTACAGATATCCTAAAATACTACTGAGCTAAAAGATGAAATACTACGACAGAATTTGTGGCAAACACAACGTGCAAATTTCTGGCATTCATCCAAAGGTGTTCACTTTACAACGATGCATTGCTCTAATTTTAAGTTATCGTTACCTTGTGTATGCTGTCGCATTCCAAGATTTTTCTAAATTTTAGTTTACAAGACCCGACACCGCATGTTGTTCGGAACTGAGCACTTTTGGTCTTCTTCATAAACCAGGAAACCACTAACCTTTATGAAACCAAAGAAGTTCTCTAAAGAAGCTGGTACCACTATCTCGATCCCGCAAGGAAAGAGGTTGAGTCTGCATTGTGCTGGGCCGTAGCATTACTTTTCGGATGTTGCTGAAAGGAGTTTTTAACACTGCCCTACTCATGCGCTACATTATTAAATATTTAGTCACCCTAAATCTCACTGAATGATGTGACTTCACTTCCGATAGAAGTACTGTTTAATCATAATGAAGATCACTTGATTTTGAAGAAAGCCCGCAGTGAAGACCAGTAAGTCACCTCAGCCAAAAGGAATTCTATTAGTAACGTCTTCTAGCGGGACAATCAGCTAAAAAACTGTTGATAAAGGTATGACAAAGAATCCAATCAAACATCTCTGTTCCTTCTTCGTTCTAATAATGTCAATGTCACATATTATTCGTGCTGGAAAAAATTTGATCAATAAAATT